TAGGATCAAAAACCCATTGCCATTAAAACAACAGAATTTAAAACTCAAGGTCCAGAGCCAGTGGCGGTAGAACACACCTGTAATCTCGGCATCTGGGCAGTAGAGGCAGAAGCAGCAAGAGTTTGAGGTGGGGCCCCTGAGAAAGCTTGGTGGGCAAAGAAACCTTTTGCCAGAATTGATGACCTAAGGGGCTCACAAGGTAGAAGAAGAAAACTAGCTCTCTGAAGTTATTCTCTGAATTCCACATGTATACACACCCACACACACACCCCCCACAGACACACACACCTAAACAGTTCAAAGTTATATTTAACTATATAGGAAATTTCAAGTCTCAAAAAACTTGTCTCAAAGCAAAAATATTCCACCCCCAAGAGAAACAAAACCAAGAAATCAAGTTCAAAGATGGTACACATGGTTTGCTGTCGTCTTTATTGTATTTTAAAGGCAGATATCAATTTGGAAGACTCTGCTCAAAACAGTGTGGAAATGAATGATTGGAGGCACTTTGTGGGACTCATGCCTGTAGTCCCAGCCTTGGGAAGCTGGGGCAGGCCAATTCTGAGCGGCAGGGCAGTCTCTTCTACACAGTGAAGTCCTGTTTTGAAAAGAAAAGGGAATCTGGGAGCAAGGAGCAATGCCGTGTGCAGGAAGAGCACACATTTGGAAATCTGGGTATACTCTCTGCAGAGGATTAGATTTTTTTTTTTAATGAAGAGTACTAGAGTGTGTTTGCACAGAGGTAGGAATGAAATGGCGGAGAGAATGAAAGTAAGGGGTTCACAAAGAGAAAATTCTGGAAAACGTGGAAGGTTGGGCAGCAAAGCCCACGCTGAAGACTTTGTGAAGATGTACAGCAGGTTTAACAACCTAGGAAAGATACAAACTGGAGGTGTGGGTGGGTGGTTTAGCCAAGGGGCTTGAATCAGCTTTGACTAAAAAGCAAGTTAAACGGACCTGCAGTCACAGAGCTTGCTCTTCCTGAAGCTTGGATCATACATGGCAGCTCCTCATGAATTCTAACCTACCTAGTGAGTCCTAACAGTGTAAAATTCCAGAAGATAAAGTGAATTTCCCAACCTACACCGTTTGGTGCCCGCTCCACCGAGCTGTAGACTTTTTCGCGGCCAGATGGTGTTTGTTTGCGATCAGTAGCTGCCTCTCAGACAGCTCACATCATATCAGTGTTGTTGAAGATAATGTATTCGCGTCTGCTGTGGCGCAGAACGTAGGCATGCTGGTCTGTTCTGGTTCTGCGCTGCTGATGGCTATAACCTTCTAAGTAAGTGACAGAATTTCTAAGTTCCTGTGCTTCTGCCTCACAGGGTGGTTAACGGCCCGCTTAGCTCGTGAAATGTATCCCAGAGAGGCCACAGGTTCAGACTTACCCTGGAGATGCAAACTCTACTTGGAATTTCTCCTGTCATCTGCTCTGATGGCCCCAGTGCTCCCAGGTCTAGCTCCTTCCCCCACTCCCACCCTCATCCCCACCCCCATCCCCACCCCACACCCCTCTCAATCACAAATGTCTTCACTTTTTTTTTTCTTCAAAGCGCCAAGTGTCCATCCTAAGACAAATGGCTGTCACATCTGGTTTCCCAACGTCAGTTTCTTTAGGACATGTTTCTTAGCAATCCCTGAAGATTTGTTTGGGAAGAGAGGCCACCTATGTTTCTCTCTTCCTCTCTCTCTCTCTCTCTCTCTCTCTCTCTCTCTCTCTCTCTCTCTCTCACACACACACACACACACNNNCTCTCTCTCTCTCTCTCTCTCTCTCTCTCTCTCTCTCTCTCTCTCTCTCTCATACACACACACACACACACACACGCACACACACAAATGTACAAGCATACACACCCATCTCGAGCGTGCAGCTGTCTGGATAGAGTCGAGGGGCCAAGATGCCAACGTAGATGGGTTTCTTTGCTGCTCAACAAATCCCGGCAGCAGGTGAGAGCTTGCTTCTTCCTTCTACGCTCGGTTCCCTGATCCTCCTCCGCCAATCCCACCCAGCTCCTCAGCCCCTCCCCTCAGTACCCCTGTCTGAAGGGTGCCACTGAGCCTCACTCCACCCTCCTCTGCAGGAGCCAACCGGCGGCAAGCGGCAGTTCTGGACTAGGAATCCAAACACGTAAAAAACCGCTCTGGACTGCCGTGTCTGCAGGGCTGGTGCTTGCGCTCCTCCGGTGAGGGTCAGAGCGCCGACTGCGCGCGGCTTATCTGGGGTTTCCAGTTCCTGCAGGCAACGCCCATGGTCCTGGACTGCGCCTTCGAGGACATTCACTCTCCACTTTCAGAAAAGTTTGGACAAAGTGAATTTGGGTTGAGTTTGGGAGATGGCAGCGGCGCCCTCTGCTTTCTTCCTCTGTGCTACCTTTCATAAGTCCCCATCTCCAACCCCCTCCATCCTTGCCGCACTGACACCCAGCTCCCAGACCCTTCTTTTCTTTCCGTGATTCCCTGACCTCGGTGGGGGTTGGGGATGTCAGTTTTGTTCCCTGCTGGTTTCATTCTCCTCCCCGTTCCTATCTACTGAACTTCACCCATTTCTAAGTCCTCACCCGGCCATTCTCCTCTCCTTTTCGCTCCACCTCTACAGCGTTCTCTCCCACTCCATTTGATCTATCCAGCTTCTTACCGCACCCACATGGTCCCTCCCTCCACCTTCCTACCTAATCTTCTCTCCCTCAAATCCTGACCATGGATTCTGAATCTTCTTGGACTGCCACTCCCTCCCCTGGGGGCACTCTGTCTGTCCCCAATGCTACCATACCCTGGCTGGGCAGGGATGAAGAGCTAGCCAAAGTGGAGATTGGTATCCTAGCTACTGTCCTGGTTCTGGCCACAGGGGGCAACCTGGCTGTACTGCTGATGCTGGGCTGCCAGGGCCGCAAGCGTTCCCGCATGCACCTGTTTGTGCTGCACTTGGCCCTGACTGACCTGGGCGTGGCGCTTTTCCAGGTACTGCCTCAGTTGCTCTGGGATATCACCTACCGCTTCCAGGGCTCTGACCTCCTCTGCCGGGCCGTCAAGTATCTGCAGGTGCTCAGCATGTTTGCTTCCACTTACATGCTGCTGGCCATGACGCTGGACCGGTACCTGGCTGTCTGTCACCCCCTTCGCAGCCTCCAGCAGCCCAGCCATTCCACCTACCCTCTCATTGCTGCCCCCTGGCTGCTGGCTGCCATCCTCAGCCTCCCTCAAATTTTCATTTTTTCTCTGCGAGAGGTGATCCAGGGCTCAGGGGTGTTGGACTGCTGGGCAGATTTCTACTTTTCTTGGGGGCCACGGGCCTACATCACCTGGACCACCATGGCCATCTTTGTGCTCCCTGTGGCCATGCTCACAGCCTGTTACAGCCTCATTTGCTGTGAGATCTACAAGAACCTTAAAGTAAAGACACAGGCTGGCAGGGAGGAAAGAAAGGGCTGGAGGACTTGGGACAAGTCCTCATCTTCTTCCCCTGCTGCGGCCACTAGAAGGCTGCCATCCCGGGTCAGCAGCATCAGCACCATCTCCAGGGCAAAGATGCGAACTGTGAAGATGACCTTTGTCATTGTGCTGGCCTACATCGCTTGCTGGGCACCCTTCTTCAGTGTGCAGATGTGGTCTGTGTGGGATGAGGATGCCCCTAATGAAGGCAAGTATGCGGCTTGTGTGAGGTGGTGAGGGAGGACAGTGGGGTTAGGATAAGGACCACAGTCTCTCCCGGGGCCAGGCAGGGCACAAATGAATGGAGTAACTAAGAAAGTTGATGCTTGTTTATCTTAGAGTATGATCTGCAGCTATAACAAATGCCTACCTAATATTTACAACAAAGAGGCTTCTCACTGTCCTAGAAGCTGGGAAGATTGGAAGGGTTCTTCTTATAAGTGGGGACTCTGACAATTTCCAGGGAGGTGAAGGACACCTCCTGAAAGTGACCAGCCTGGCTTTTCTCAAGGACATACTCTTATGGTAACATTTTTTTTCTTGAAAACCCATTAGTCTATTAATCCGCAATCCCCTATAGTCTAATCCATTCCCCAAGGTCTCACCTCAAAATAGTATTGGCATGTGATTTTGAGGGCTCTGTTTCTAAGACATGAATTCTGGGGGCCAGACCTTCAAACCAGTCCTGCCTCATGTGGTCCCATCCAGCCCACCAAGGCTGTGTGAGTGGGTATCAATTATGTGGAATTTCTTGATTTTTAAATTTTGGTTACTTATTTAACAATTTAAAAATACGATGTGATGCTAGGGAAAGCCTTTGTTCTGGAACAAGGCAGAAATCAGCGTGGCCTCTGTGGGGAGGAGATGTTTTGGTAGATTTGCTCAGCCAACTTCTGGTCGCTTCAGAGACTTTCCAGAGCTGAAAGGGAGTTTCAAACAATCTAGTCCAGGATGGCAAAGAACGGGACTGTCTTCTCTCTTAGTGCACTTCCCTTCTGTGTCTGGACATAGCCCTGTGGCCTTTCTCAGTAGCCCTTTCTAAAGAGTTCAGGCTGGCATATGCCAGCCAGAGGATCTCAACTTCAGTTCTTTCATTATGTCACCGAGGAAAGGGAGGCTCAGAAAGGAAGAGTCTGTGACTTGGCAAAGTAAAGGGGAGAAGCCCAGTCTTCCAGCTCTTTGCCTTTTTCCTTTAACCCATTGCTTGCTTACAACCCTGGTTCTTCACTTGGCTCTATATGTGAACCTGCATGGTGTTATGGAGTAGCTTTCTCTACAGAAGAGAGGTTTGTTCCTTATCTGAAAAACAAAATGAGACTCTCCGAGAAGACAGCTCTGCACGGTGACAGGGAATGATGCACACAGCAACCTCCCGAGCTTCAAATGCTGCAGGTGGCTCAGGCTGACCTTGGGACTCACTGTGTAACCCAGGTTGAACTTTTGATCCTCCTGCCCCTATCTCCTGAGTGTTGGGATTGCAGATTGTAACACCATGCTTGGTTCTGTCTCCCTTCTTGACTGTCCCCTGGACATTAGTCTAGACACAAAGGTGTTTGCAAGTGTTTCTGTAAGCAACGAGCATATTAAACCCAACTTACTATGAAGGCTCCTCCTGTTCTAGCCAAGGAGAGACTAGTAGAAAGGGCTTCTTGGTACCAAGTATGTGAACCTGCGTGGTGTTCGGAGTGGCTTTCTCTACAGTACATCTGAACAACCCAGAACTCAGGGAAGCCTTAAAGATACTGGTCTAAAATGCCACTGCTAGTCGGTGATGGAGCCAGGACTTAATTCAGGGGTTTTATGGGCCAGCTTCATCTGTTACAGGACTTTTCTCCCAACAATTACAGTCTGGCCAGTGACAACAAGGCTGGAGTAGTTATTTGCCCTTGTTTGAAGGATGTGTGGGAGGGTGGATTCTGTTTTCTCCATTAGGTAGTGTGTTTTTTTTCCTGTTTGCCTGCAAGATCCATCCATTATTGTGAGCCTGGTCCCCAATACACTGTGTGCACAGAGAGTGATTGCCTGTGGCCGAGGGCCTCTAGGAACCAGTGCAGGGAGTGAGCAGGGTCTTACAATCCACTCTCAGAGACATGAGAGCTCCATGGGCTCTGATCACTGCCTGAGATTTTTGTGTTCAGTACACCCCATTCCTCCTTGTTCCCCCATGTCTTCTTGCCCCTGTGGGCTATATTCTGCCTGGACTGGCTGTGGGAGATCTTCCCACAAGGGCTGAGAAGCAGAGCCTCCACGGAGTCTGATGCTTCTCCCTGGGGCATTCCCAGCCCCTACACTGTGCCCAGCTCAGATGGACCAGATCAAAATCTGCTTCCTAAGGCGTGGAATATGTGCACCTAAGCCAAAGGCTTTGGCTTCTGTCCCTAGGACTTGTGTCTTTTATTAAATGTTCCCACCCTACACCCTCTCTATTTTTGTCCCAAGAGGGGCCCTACCCTGAGCACACCTGAGGGGGTTATTCCTGATTGGCAGAAGCTTTGTTATGGACTGCAGGGTAAACACGTGAGCTAGACCATGGAGGTTGTTTAGCGGTGGAAGCTCTGATGGGGTCTGGGATCTCCACTTTAGAGAGAGAAGAATGGACTGTACTGGAAGAACTGGAAAGTCTGCTTGTGACCTTCCTCCCAGGCCCGGCCTTGCTTTCAGAGATTCTCAACCTCTGTGAAGAAGCTGATAGTGGGCCAGCTGTGCCCCTGCACGGATGTGTCTGGCAGGAGGCCAGGGCCTTCGGATCCGCATTCCTGCTCTTGAGAAGTGTTTCATTAAATCTCTGGGAAGAATTTTGTATGTGGAAGTGATCTTAGTGGAATTTTTCACCTATCCATTTTGCCTGACTAAGAAACGTTTTCCCCTATGAGAGAGTAGAATCCGAGAGGCCATCTGAGAACAAGACCCAGATGCAAGCAGATGCTCTGTGCCTAGCAGCTGTCCCTGCTGGACTTGGGGATGGTGGTCGCCTAAGACCATCAGAAAACACAGGTATTTTTATTACAAATAACAACAGCAACATAACAGGAATGAAGCAACAATAAAAGTAAGTTTATGGTCGGGGGTCACCACGACATGAGGAACTATATTAAAGGGTTGGAGCACCAGGAAGGTTGAGAACTGCTGAACTAGATGAAGATTGTTTGCCTGACAAGCAGATAAAGATGGCTGAAGTTACCCAGGGGAGAGCTGACTGTCGTTGGAAAGATACGTTTTACCTTACCATGTCTGTGGGTCAGGAATTTACACACCATTTTGTTGGGTCCTGTGACTCAGAGTCTCTCACAGGGAAGCAGTCATGGTGTCAGCCAGGTCTATCGTCATCTGAGGGCCCACCCAGGAGAAAATCCCCTTTCAAGTGTGCTGGTGTGTGGGCTGGCTGGCAGGCCTCAGTGCGTAGGCTGGCCACATGGCATTGGTTCCTTGCCGTGAAGGCCTCTCCACAGGCCTGCTTGTAGCATGGCAGTTGGCTTCTCCATGTAGTGAAGTTTTAGAAGCTTTATCCCAAGGTCTGCTGGTCTATTGCTTTGGACCAGAGGAGAAGGAGAATATGGTGATCAGAGCATATGACAAGAATGCTCTCTAGGAAATCGAAAGACCAAAACAACTGGTTGTTGTTGTTGTTGTTTTGGTTTTTCAAGACAGGGTTCCTTTGTGTAGCAGCCCTGGAGGTCCTGGAACTCACTCTGTAGACCAGGCTGGCCTCACACTCAGAGATCCACCTGCTCCTGCCTCCCAAGTGCTTGGGGTCAAAGGCATGTGCCACCTAATACTTTCCTACTATCGCTGCTCAGCATGCATCAAATTTGTTTATCTTTGGATTTCATTGGATTGGAATGTTTGGTTTTTAAAATTTTTGTTTGAGTTTCATACTGAAAATAATCAGGGTTGGGTGTAGGTAGAGACTGCTTGTTCATTCCCAGCAGCCCAGACCCAAATACTTACACAGAAACTATATTAATTGCAACACTGCTTGGCCTATTAGCTCAGGCTTCTTATTAACTAACTCGTCCATCTTAAATTAACATGTTTCTGTTAATCTGTGTATTTCTACAAGGCCATGGTCTACTGGTAAGGTTCAGGCATTCTGGCATCTTTCTCCTTCAGTAGCTACACGGCAACTCTTTGACTCTACCTACTCTCTCTGTGTATCTCTGGATTTCCCTTCTGGCTTTATTCTGCCCTGCCAGAGGCCAAAGTAGCTTCTTTATTAACCAATTGTAATAAAACATATTCACAGAATACAGAGGGGGATCCCACATCAGTTGGGGAGGTGGCTCAGGGTGTAAAGTGTTTGCATGCCAATCTGAGGAGCTGAATTCGGGTCTCCAGCATCCATGTAAAAAGCCTAGTGTGGTAGTGGGATCCAGTGCTGGAACAGGAAGTGCCTGAAGGCTTCCGTACAAGTCTAGGCTGTCCAAGTCTAGCCAATAAGTGGGCTCTGAACTCAATCAGATGTCCTGTCTCAAAAAATAAAAAATAGTAAGGTAGATAGTGATAGAGTCAGACACCTCACATGAACCTCTGACCTTCCCGCATGCATATACAAGCATGTACAACTGTATACACATATGTACACACACGTATATACCACACATACATGCATTAAATACATTAAAATAATTATGTTGTTGAATAAATTTTGGCCTGGGATTATTAGAATAGAATTTCCAGCAAAATTTGGAATGGCCCTATATATTCTTCTGTCATTTTATGCCACATATTCTTACAAAGTGACGGTCTCAGCATTGACTATTATAAATTTGAAATATAAGCAACTCTGGAAAACACTGAAAATGCTTTGTGTTCTTCAATATCAAATACTTGGCTAAGATCTGCTTATATGAAAATTAAGAAGCACACCGCCCCATTGTGCACAAAAACTCGGTTTTGTCTTTAATAAATGTAGAGCAAAAACTGTTTCAAAATAAATTTCTTGAACCCCAGAGAGCAGGAGCTCTGATTTAGGTAAGAGCAGCCCAGAAAATTTGCACTGTAATTTCAGTGACAGACATTTCGAAGAGTAAAGAATGTGGGGAAACCAGACCCCCCCAAAAAATCCATAGCAGTTACACAGAGAGGAGAGATGCTGGGAAGACCCCCTCTTCTTGGTAGCCATAAGATAACATTTTAGAGACCCCTGCTGTTTTGGTGACTTGGTGGCCTAAGATCCTCTGTGAATTACATGCTCGGGAAATTCAGAGCAGGGGCTGGGAGTTTATATGCTGAACCCAGTCAGTAGAATACCTCCAGAGTGTAAGAAAGAAACTAAATCAAAAGCACGCGATATTCACGGTCAGTGATGTGGAAACCTAGCCAGAGCTAGAGTCTGCAGGGGACTTAAGCTTCGGCTCCAAGCAGCGCTTCAAGCATTGGGAAAGGGACCCATTCAAGCCCGGTATGGGACCAGTGTTGGCGATTGCGCCCATGAAGGGACTCCCCCAAGGATGACCGGCATCTGAGATGCAGCCAGTGAAGAGCCACATACTGGCTGAACCAGAGTCGGTAACCTGATCATCCGAAGTGCTCCCAAAGCTGAGAACAGCATCCACAGCACAGAGCTCGGCCCTGAAGAATCCCCCAGCATCTGTGACCTTACACAATTTGTGAGGGGGTTCCAGGCTTCTGGGAGTCAGGGAAGGATTGCCAAGAGACTTGAGACAGGAACGTGAGCAAACAGGCCAGCCTGTATTCATACTCTGCGCCCCCACGCAGCTTGCTCCCTTTCACATCCCGTATTTAATACCCAGTACCAGCTTACCAGGCCAGCTGCACCCTGCTCTGCTCTTGTTCTCTCCCTACCTGCTCCTCTTTCTGTAAGCACACAGGCTGGCCAGGGTGGGAGTGCTTCTGTGTCTCCGTCCTCTGTGAGCTGGGGTGGTTCCAGGTTAGCTGCATTTCCTTACCTTTCTCTTCCCGTTCCAACTTTAGCCCAAACGACCCACCCCACCCCGACCCACACCTTTGTCCCTCCTGCCCCCTCCCATTTACAGTTCCCTCCTCTACTTTCTTCATCCACCCAGCACTCGTCTTACCGTTTTTCTCTCCTACCCATACCTTCACTAATAAATTCATGCTTACAGTTCTATCAATTCTTCTTTATTATCTAAAATTATTGGTACCAAGAAGTGATTGTTGTTTAACTACGACTATACTTTCATAGTGGGCCTCTTCCTTGAGAGCGACTGTCTTTACACCATTCCTCTTGGAGGGGAGATGGCTCCTGGTGCCCTGAAGTCTAATAGAGGAAAACGATGCCTCAACCCCACTATCAGTATCTTCTCTGAACACTGTAAATACTTCTACTGAAAGAATAAGAGTGAGTTTTTAAAATCCAACCAATGACCTAACCCCAGATGCGCAAGTCCCAACCCCAATGCATAAGAAACATAAAAAGCTAAGAATGACTCCAATGAGACCAAATTAGACAAAAATCCCATGCAAAGAATTTGAAGGAATAATTTTAATCCTAGAGAGCACAAACTCCCAAGTAAGTTTCAGGAGAACACAAAGAGCTGAAGGAAATCAATACAAGATGTGAAAGAGACCAAAATATTGAAAAAAAAAATAAATACTAGTAAGTCAACAGGAAAGTCTGTGGAAGGGCTCAGCCAAAGGGCAGATGATGAGAAGAATGAAGTATCAGAGTTTGGAGACAAGATGGAGGAGCTGGAACAACCAATGACAAAGGTAAATCAGTAAGGAAGTGTGAGCAGAACATTTGAGACCTAAGGGATCCCCTGACCTAATCTACAAACCATGGGCATAAAAGGAAGAGAGAAGAAGTCATGCTAAAAGGCATAGAAAACATTTCCAATAAAGCCAAAGCTTCAAAACTCACCTATCTAAGGGAGCTGCCCACCCAGGTAAAGGAAGAATTTAAGACACCAAATAAGACCAGAAAAGATCTTCCCTACATTGTATTATAGAGTACCTTGAAAGCAGCAAGAGAAAAACAACAAGTCACACAGAAAGACAAGCCTGTCAGAGCAATGGGAGGGCTTAGGGCAATAGGTTTCAAGCTCCAAAAGACAACGGTCATCTCAGCCTGCAGCCCACCATCCTCAAAGCAGAAAGAAAACTTTCCGCGATGGAAACAGGCTAAAGGAACCCATGCCCTCCAGGCTACAGTAGACCTGAAGGAATCCTTCATATCAAAGAGAAAAATACAATGACTTTGTGATTTAGATCAGTAAATGTTCCGTTTGTTTACCTGTATACCCAAGGAAGCATACATTTTTCTTGGGAAAGAAGGGACCACAGAGAACGTTTCAGAAGGTCTGCTTTAAGATTAAGACTGAACCTATCTACAGAGTGAGCCAGGATCAAAAGAAAAGGAAGGAGAGAAGGCTCAAATTAGAGATTCGTGGTCCAGATTTTAAAGCAAAACCTTGTTCTTCTGTTTGGACCCATCCTACCCAGGCAGTGTTTACTCTTCTAAATCGAACTTGAACCAAACCTTATCACTACGGTTACAAATCAACTGAAACTGGGCCAGTGAGACTGGGACTCGGGAGTTAAAGGTCAAGCCTGAACTGCACTCTCTGGCTATAGAACCCCAAGTGAACCTTTTCTCCATCTAGGACTTCATGCCTTCATCTGGAGACCCAGCCTCTGTCCTGTGTCCCCCCCCCCCCCAGACCCTTGAGCTGTCATTCTAAGACATTTTGTGCTTCTCTCTCTCTCTCTCTGCAGATTCCACCAATGTGGCTTTCACCATCTCCATGCTTCTGGGCAACCTCAGCAGCTGCTGCAACCCCTGGATCTACATGGGCTTCAACAGCCACCTGCTGCCACGTTCCCTGAGTCACCGTGTCTGCTGCAGGGGTTCCCAGCCCCGGGTGCACAGGCAACTCTCCAACAGCAGCCTTGCTAGCCGCCGAACGACATTACTGACCCACTCTGGTGGTCCCTCCACCCTCCGTCTCAGCCTTAACCTCAGCCTCCATGCGAAGCCTAGGCCTGCTGAGTCACCAAAGGGTTTAGAGCAGAGGGATGGAGAAGCCATCGTGGAGACCAGCATCTTTTAGAGAGAACTCCCTAGAACCCGGCTCTGCACATCTCAGGCTTTGGGAATGAGGAAGAAAAGGGTTGGTGGTGGTACTGAGCGGAGCCTAATTTGAAGTAACCTAAAGAGGCTAGAATGGCTGCCACTACCCCAGGTGTCATGGCAGCCTCTAGTGAGCACTGTCCATTCTCTCTCAGTTTTAGATTGCTGGAAACCAGGCGGGTCAAATTCCTTGTTTCTTCCACATTCATAAGAGCACCCACAAACATACCCAACTGGTGGTTAGAGAGCTCTAGATGGCACTATCAGCTCAGAGGCTTGCCTCATGACTTGGCTAACTGTCCTCATTCTAACTTGACTGGTACATCTCAGTGCCACCAGGAGAGAAGAGATTAGAAGAACAAATGTGTGGGACTTTCAGCTCTACCCGTCTGTCTACAGAAATGAGGCAGCCTGATGGTGACGTGGGACCTCGTACCTGATGGTGATGATTTGGAACTGATACCAAGTAGGGACGAAGTAAATGGTAGCTCTTCTCCTGCCACTAGATGGGTGGCCTGGGGACACATCATGGGTTCTCAGTGGTCTGGCCCACTGGTGCTGAGACATGGAGACAGAGGAGAGGGAAGGCAGAATAGAAATGATCACGACAAAATCAGGAGAAGGAATAAGGCTGAGAGGCCACAGGCCTAGGATCTTCCTCCTCATCTCCTCCAGACTGTGTGGGATAGACTTCCTTTCTGAAAGAGCTGACATGGTCCTGGCTCTAGAGAGCACAGAGGTTCTAAGGGAAGTTGGAATCAAGGTTTAAGGCTCTGCTCTGCCCTGGGAAGCCACCTCCACCTCCAGGTCTCAGCTTCCTCACTTATAGTGAGATGGCTGCTAAGGTCTTTCTCAGCTCTAGTTGTCTATGACTTTGCAAGACTGGAATTGGGTAATAGCACAAACCCACAAAGGGCATTCTAGCCAGCAGGCTCTAGCATTGCCCCATTTTCATAACAATTGCGTATTCGTCTTTACTTCAGTTCTGGTAGATCACGACATACCAGAACGGGTCCCTTTGACCTCAGTTCTGTATTGCTCCTGAGACAGGAAGAAGAGACAGCGAAGAAAGATGAAACCTTGGGCCTGGCCCCACATTTCCTGATTATTTCCAGGGGAGCTAAAATCTTAGAGGAACTTCCCTGCCTTCATTCTGGGTCTCAGGGACAGCCAAGATTATACAAAAAGCATCAGCTCACAGCAGGCCAGGGGGCTGGGTCCTGGTCCTGGCCTAGCAGTGACAACAGTCAGTAGCATGCTGAGCCTGGCCAGCTCAGCTAGGAGAGTCAGACGAAGTGGGTATACACGCGGTTTGCAATCACGACGGATCTACACGCTTTTGAGGAAAACTCTAAGGGACAGGCTCGCTCCCCCATGCCTCGGGAATCTTTGAAGAGTGATTGTGGCTCTGTAAAGACACTACTCCTGTGTCAACTTGACACAAACTATGCTCATCTTGGAGGAGGGAACCTCAGCTGAGGACTTGCCTTCAGCAGCCTGGTCTGTGGGTATTTTCTTGGCTGATGATTGACCTGGGAGGACCTAGCTATTGTGGGTGGTGCCACCCTTGGGAAAGTGGTCATGGGTTGTACAAGAAAAAAAGACTGAGCTGAAGACATACATACAAGTAACATCATACATATATTTATTTATTTAGGGAATATATGTGTATGTGCATATATGTATGTAACAACAATTAATGAAAAAAGAGGACATGAATTTGAAAGAGAGAAGGGAAGGGTATATGGAAGAGTTAGGACAGAGGAAAGGGAAGGGGAAATGACGTGGTTATATTATAATCTTTTAAAAAAAAGAAATTACTTTAAAAATTAAAAATAAGAGAGAAAGCAAGCCAGTAAGCAGCCCCCCCTCCACGACCTCTGCTTGAGTTCCTGCCTCCAGGCTCCTGCCTTGAGTTCCTGCCCTGACTACCCCCCCACCTCCCGCTAGCGAATCAGTGACCTGGGAGCTGTAAGCTGAAATAAACACACTTTCCTCCCTGAGTTGCTTTCGGTCATGGTGTGTATCACAGCCACTCCACGCTAAGAAGCTTCCTAAGGATGCTATGACTGAGCAGAGCATCCAACCCTCTGGTACAGAACACTGGAGACCAGCAAACACACACAAAGGGGAAGGAGGTGTTAAAGGTGTGCAAGGCAGGGAGTCACCCTCGCTCTCTCTGTCCTGAGGCTTCTGTTGCCTGCAGCAGCCCCAGACTTCTAACTGCTTCTTCTCTGCCCATCTGTCGTGAGGATCTGGGCTTGGGACGCACATTGCATCCAGCCAGTCAGAGCAGTTGAAGACATTCCTTTCCCTGCTTATGTAATCTTCTGCACCTCACTACCCAACACCCCATCTTCTGACTGCAGTCCCTGGCTCTGCTGCCTATAGCAGAGCAGGTACTAATGAATTCCTTCGCCGTGTGACTGGGACTCAGAAGGAACCCCAGTGTGCATCCCAATAATCTGGACTTGTGTCTTGCTCTCTTTCTCCCTGTATGAACTCAGCAAGTCACCGACTTCTCCCTACAGTGTTGCCTTTATTTATGAACTAGAAATGACAATGTCATTCTGTTGGGAGGGATTTTTAAAGAAGTCTCTACTAGTGTCACAGTGGGAAATGACGGTCTGTCTTAGGTTGTAGCTAGAGGGTGGCTCCCAAGGCCTTGGGCCTGGAGAGCCTATAATTCGGGAAGAAGGAAAAGCATGCAGGACCCAGGTTGGCTAACACCCCATTCTACCTACTCTTTGTCTCCAGTAGTCCCCGTGGCCTACTCCTGTACTTTCTCTGTGAATTACGAAAGGAAATTTTACTTGTGGGTGTCTTTGAGGCTCCAGCAGTTTCTCTCATGAAAGACTGCCTGCATCTTTTCCAGAAAGCAGGTTCTACAACAAGACCAATGTGAAGTGACCATACACTGGACCTGGGACCTTGGGAGCCCACTGTTTGATGCTCCTGGAACAAAGGTGAATCTGGCCTAAGGCCATGAGTGACAGCCTGTGTAGCCCCTGCGGGGAGTTCTCATAGACATTGTGCATCAGTGAGAAAGCCTAGGGTGGGACACAAGCAGGTGGACCCTGCGGGGAGCGAGCCAGAATCCTTCTGACCCCTAACACCGGGATAAACTGAGTAATGCTGCTTCTATGTTGGGAATGCGGATTACAGTTCACGTCACCCTGTGCACTGTGGATCCCGAAACTTCAATCCCTTAAAATCTACAGAGGAAATCTGGGCCTGTGTCCACAGGCTGTAACCCCAGCTCTACAGAAGGCTGGATGATTGTAAATTCAAGAATTGTCTGGGCTTCAGAGCAAATGCAGGGCCAGGCTGCATGTTTTAGCAAGACCCCGTTCTGAAACCAAAGTAAAAATAGCTGGGGCATAGCTCAGTGGCAGAGCAATCCTTTAGCAAGCAACCGGCCCTGGGTTTAACCCTCTGACCCTAGTATTGCAAAGATAAACAAAACCCCAAACTTACATAGCACTGGGCATAGTGGCACACATCTGTTATCCCAGCACTCAGGAGGCAGAGTCAGGACTGAGAATTCATGCCAGTCTGGCCTACATAGTGAGACCCTGTCTTATAAAACAAAACCAGAGCCAGGCAGTGGTGGCACACACCTTCAATCCCAGCACTCAGGAGGTAGAGGCAGGAGAATCTCTGAGTTCAAGGTTAGCCTGGTTTACTGAGTGAGTTCCAGGACAGCCAGGGCTACACAGATAAACCCTGTCTCCGAAAACCAACCAACCAACCAACCAACCAACCAACCAACCAACCAACCAACCAACCTAACCGGAAACAACCATGTAGGAACAGGACACCAGGGCAGGGCAGAGATGATACTGGTGTGTGGGAAGCTGACCAGTTAATTGTAGGAATTCCTCAGGATGGATTTTTAAGTTATTTGGTACCAGCCACTGATTTCCCAGGTGGCTATGCTTGTGTTTTGTATGTAAACAGGTTTGGTCTGCAGTGGCCACGCTGCCGCTGCAGTTCCCTTCTGGGTCCAGACCTCCGAAGTCCAGGTTGAAATTAACCAATACAACCTTTTAATATCCAGGAAAACCTATGCATGTTTATTCTTTTAAATAGTTATAATGGACTTCACAAGATAAAATTAAAACCTGATTTATTGAGCAAGCAGTATGGGAGTTGGGGTGGGGGTGGAGAGGAAACTGCGTCTGCAACCACAAGGTGGCAGTGTGGAGCTGAAGGAGCAGGTTCTGTGGCCCTGGGTTGGACTGGGTGCCCTTGCCTTAACAATCAGGTTGAAGCCCCTTCTCTAGGCAAACATTACTGAAATCAAGTGTATACACGCGCGCGCGCGACACACACACACACACACACACCTCTCACCCTATCCGTGTCCGGACAGCCTGAGGCAACAATGAGCCCCAGGAGCGGGCTGGAAGAGCCAGTTTTGAGAGTGTTGGCCCCTCATTTGCCCAGGTTCTCTTGAGACACCAGACTCTGGGCTTCCTTCTATCTAAGGTCCTGGAGGGTGCATCTGACAGAGCCATCCATAGGACTGTTTGAAGGAGTAAGATACCTCAAAACAAGAACAAAACCAAAAAACAAAACCAAAAACAAAAAAGAAAAGAAATTGAAAAGGCAGTGTCTTTTTCCTGCTGAGCTCTGATCTTGCTGAGCCCAGAAATCCGTTTGGATGCCTGCCCCTTGAGAGTAAGAATTCATGAGGCAGGGTCCTCTTGGTTGTGGTCCATATTTCCAGCTTGTAGCCACACAGTTATCGACTTCTCTACACCTTATTACGACACACATGGGGAAACTCTTATCCAGTGTCTCCCCCAAACGGAGGATCCAAGAGGAACAGCGTGAGGGTTCCCGGAGGCAATATTCCTTGAGCCAGAGGCTACACGCCCCTCCTCGAAGGGCGGTTACTGCTGCAGATGTGGGCAACCAATCTTCTCAGTTCCGGGAACTGTCGCAAACAAAAGCTCCTTGATTGCCGGTGGAGCAGCCTGTGACTGAGGGCTATGGCCGTTCTCTGTCATCTACAACCTCACTTCCCTCTGTTCAGCTCCAGCCAACTGGAGCTGAAAACATGAACCAAAATAT